GCTAAATGGATTTTAAATTTTCTTGTTAAGACTCTCCTGAAATTTTTATCTGAGCACTTTAGCTGTCAAAGAAAGTTCTCTTTTTAATTTTCTTTAATACTGTACATAGTCATACATTTATATTAGCAAAGGAAACTTTAAGGCTGAGGAAATAAATCATTAAAAGCTTGCTTTTGAATAATGAGCATTCTAAACAGTCTTACAAGATAAGGACCAAGCAAAAAAGAAAAATAAAAATATATTTTTCGGCTAGAAGGTTTTTCAGCCAAGGTGTATGAATAATTTAGTTTAGTGAGACAGTACTAATTATGATAATTAGTAACAACGGAAAGAATCATATTTGTGAAAAGAGCATTTTAACTCAAGAAAAATATCGAATAAATTTAAAATAACATGGGAAAAACAAATGCAAATCGAAAACCTGGCAGAAAAAAACTTACTGTTTTTAAACTCCTTTAATTAAAATTTACGGGTGTTGATGGAATAAAGAGACCGCTTCAAATAGTGAGATATTTTTGATACTGTTATTCCATTATGACGACGGATCCGATGTGAACGCCATTAAATACTTAGAAAAAAAATTTTTTCATAATTCTTCAGATACTCGTCAGAGAATCTGAGTTGATGAAATAATTCATCTGTTAGGAGTCTAAAAAATCAGCTGGATTTAAATAAAGTGGATTTGCATATCTTTGAGTCGTTACAATTAACACGAAAATTTTTTAGAGAAAAATGCGTCCAAAAATCGATAAAAATGAAACGGAAATAGAAACAAAAGATGCCAGCCTTTCCTTGGTAAATTCTCTGAGAAAACTGGTTTTAATTGAGGGGCGAGGAAAAGGAATCATCGTGTGGTATATAAATCTTCGCTAATTTGCATTACGGTTACTTCCATCCATCAACAATTCGGTCAAGGAAAAGCTTTCGTAGTTGTTACCAGCTTTGAAAAAAAAAACAGCGATTATGATTAAGTGATTTATTGGTTTTTTCGGGTTTGTGAATCCGGTTGTATGATTATATGAACCCCCCCCCCCCGAAAAAAACAAATAAAACTAAATGCGACGCTTTGGTCAACATTAAATATTTTGGAATTAAGCCTCTAACCTTGGTTTCATTTTGGTTAGACCCTCCAAATAAACAGAAAAAAATTAAAAGAAAGCCGGTGATTTTTTCACTAAGGAAATATGAAATTTAAACTGTTCGGAAGAAAATCTTAATCAGGATTGATGTAATTTTTATCTCGTGGTCTCTAAGGGACCGTAATGAATGAGATCCTCGATTTGTTCAGTGATAATTTAAAGATTGTCCTAGCATTTTAAGAAAATCTTCTACCTGCTAGCTACCACTGTGTACCTGTGTTCTCGGTTGTCCCTCGCTTTGAAAGATCCCAATGGTCGGGAAATCCAATTCCTCCAAAAGTGACGAAGTATAAAGGGCATCAAAGTTGACGTCCACAAAAATGGCACCCAGAGTCTGCGATGAGATATTCCAGATCTGAGAGAGAGATCCTCCGCTGGCACCAACTTGACTGAGCGCTATCTTATTGTTGTCAATGGGCAAAGGATTTACATAAACCTCTGAAGCTTCCTGCTCAAGACTAATCTTGCTCCTCGGTCTGTTAGCAAGGAACAAGGATTCTGCCCTTTGTACAATGTTCCGCATGTACCTACTCGAAGCATTGTAGAATATAACGACATCAGATACAGTTTTCCCATTACTGTATAACGCTAAAATACTTTCTCTTTGAGTTACAAGCAGAATGAGTAACAAAAAAATGCTGCGAGAAGTCATCACTAAATCAAATTAGTACTCTCCAATCTCGCATTTCACCATTTCAAAATTTCTATCGATTGGCTGTGAATAAATATGCTGCCCTACGGGCAAAAATTCTAAGTTCACCTAATTTCCGATGCCACATGAATAATTACTTGCAAACGAGACTTTATGACATAAATTTTAATCTGTATGAGAGCATAACCTTGAGTCTTCAGAAACGAAACAGAACTAATATTCTTGGTATCGAGACAGACAATGACAAAATTCTCCAATGACGGGCTGGAAAGGCTTTTGAAGGTTTCAAGAATTTACTGTGTTGTTACAAAACCCACGGGATCTCCTTCTGTGTTCCTTCTGTCTGACGCAAAACATGCGAGGCGTAAGTTCGATTAAATTTGGCGTGCAAAAATAAAAAAGGTAATTTAAAATACTCGACATGATATAAAAACATTTTTTTAATATCAGGGGGATCACTTTCCCAGACCTTCTCGTTACTACAATATTAGGTATTACGCTTTGCCTCAAAAAAATTTCATTTGGTTTTGACGTCCCGCTCTATTTACGTTCCTTGTGATATCGTCCTGTCACCATGGGCCCCGTTTAAACCGCTGATTTGATCTGCATCGGGAAAAGCTGCTATTAAACGGTGTAAATTCAACAGCCGTCAAATGAACTTCTTTTGTACTCAAACCAACGTCTCCAGTTTAGATCAATACCCATTTATTCAAACCCCTTCATTCAAATTCAAATCAGACTTGCTTGAATAAGTCTTGTTTTAAAACAACAATTATTGAGCATTTTAATATCCAAATCAATAACTTGCGTGACGGCTATAAACAACATACTAGGTATCGCTTCAGTTGATAATCGCATCCTTGTAGAGTGGAAATTTTGATTTTTGTTTTCTCATATCAGGTGGTGCGGAAAATTTGTTTACGTGTAGTAATTGAACTAATGCAGATTTATTTAACTTCCTGTATTTTGGTGGAAAATAATGGCATACAGTTCATTGCGATTGACAACCTTCTTGACATCACATCACTAGCAGATACCATTTCTTTTAAAATTGGATTCTTTACCGAGCATTTGAGCACAATCGTTTAACGGCATCTCGTGCTCCCTCTACGAATATCAGAAATCTATAAAAATTACTCCATAATTTTATGAATTGGAAAAAAAATTATGCCGAATAAATAATGAGATAGTACCAAATATAACAAAACCTTTTATACCAAATACGAGTTTCAATCGTCCAATTTAAAAAAAATGCATAAGCTTGTAAGAAAAATATATAGGAACAAATTTTGAGTATCAATGAACAAAATTCTTTTTTAGGTGAGAATTAAAGTCATCTTCTATGCAAATCGATCCAATTTTAAAGATTGCATGAAAAGGCGGCTAAAGATTAACGAAAAATTTTTAAACACGTTTGTTTTGAAAAAACTGCTGCGCGTCGAAGGACAAACCTCGCCAACCTCCTTCCTCTCGAACCGCCCCAAGACAACTATCATTTAGAAATAAACGAGGAAAGAAAAAGTGCTCCGGAGGTAAAACGACCCATGTTCAAGCCATCATTCTGGCCTTTTACAAACGACTTGGTTTGTTTAGAAACACAACTGGGACAAGCTACTGTTGTAGCAAATCTGATCTATAATTCTATCACAGTTAGCAGAGAGAGTTTTTTTGTAAGCCGGCAAATATCAAAAGTGAAAACAGCGGTGTAGAAGGTTAGTTTGGAAGCTCCTGACCACTCACATCTTTTTTTTCTGCGACCACACGTGGTTACCAAATAAATGATTGGGAAGTTTAGATTGTTTAGAATAGTTCTGAATCTATAGAGATTAGCAGTGTAAGGTCAGAAAATTCATGACAATATGGTAAATCTTTGCAGTCGTTTTTTTCTTTAATTACTGCATTCTATTAACTACAATAATGGTACCCTGGTAAATGATATTGGAAGGATTGCCAGGCATGAGCTTAAAGATTATTTTACAAAGAATTTCTTCGGGCGAAAATCATGCGGTTAAATTTTAATATGTTTGTCTCTAAATTCGCGTAACTGGTTTGAATTTATTTATGACAAAGAAATGGAAAACTGCAGATCAGCACAGACTACAAAGGCCACCGACCTGAAATGTGTGATAAGATCTAAAAGTTTAACGGCACTCTAATTTCCTAGGAGTTATTGGAAATGCGCGTGAGATGACAATATCGTACAGTGTATCAATGAAACCGGAGCCACCGAAACAAATAAGCAAAAAAGATGCAAAAGAAAAGAATAAAAAACAATCACCCACACGCAATTTAAATTTGCGAGCTTTCAGCCGTTTTCATGAATTGGTACTCCTACAACCCACTTGCAAGCTTTACGAATGCACTAAAAGCTTACTGATTTTAAAAAGTTAACCAACCCTGTAGTCCCATTCACATCACTGGTCAAAGAGGCTAAGATCTTTTTTCGTACTCGATATTTAATTGGCTGGATTACAAGACACATCGGAGTATCTTGTCTTATTTCTGCCCTATGTTTTCGTATTGCATGATTGACCCTCAGTAAGTAGATCATCCCCTACTCTATAGAATCTGCTGCAAATCTGCGTAGAATTTACATAGTTCAACAGCCTAGCCCACCACGAATCTCCCACAGCTCAGTTCAAGAGATTATAAACAGTTTATAATCCCTTGCTCAGTAATCTACCACCGTTCCGATTAGTACATCGGATCTTCGTATGATCCGAAGTACTAATCGGAACGGTGGTAGATTACACTCCTACAAGGAACACTCAGCTCGGAGTTCTTTCTTGCGACAGTTGGATTCATCCTCTTCTGAATGTCACACTACTAAAGGTGTCATTCTCTTGGCCGCCACTACAGCCACTGTAATTTTTATCGTCACTTAAACACAATCAAGTAATGTTCACAATCAATTTCACTCACACTATGCTCTGCACCTTATCAGTGATGCCCCCACCCCTCTTATTTGGTATGTAAAAAAAAGAAAGCCTGCCCTTAAAACATTAAAAAAGAAAAAAACCCTTGACTCTACATGATTCTCTGCACCTCCCACCAGTCGCGAAATTGGGATATGGGAACCCTTTATCAATGAAAGGCTGTAAAATTATACCAACTGGAGCTCCGCATTTATTGTTGGCTAAATCTATATTATTTACAGATAAAAAAAAATGTTTGATTTGTAGAGCAAGTCTTCTCTCTTGTTCCCGGAAATAACTAATGTCGCAGTTTCTTCAAAGCATCATCGTTTTCTTTCCGCACAGACACGAACAACCTCCAGTCTGTCTCTTTGCAAAACTATGGCGCGTGGAAGAGACAGTTCAGTAACTCAGACACCAACAGAACATTGAGGCTGTTTCCTAGCAGGCGATATTGTTGTTTGATCGACAAAGACGAAGGGAAACCTGATAAAAGTAAACAAAAAAGTGAATGACGGTATGTAAAGCTCCAAGTAACAATACGGCGACTTCAGTCCATAAGGGATCACAGTTTCTAAAATGGAAGGCAGTTGGTATTTGTATCATGTAAGTTAACCGACGACAAAAAAATAGGCGTAAAATGTATTCGGGAACCTATTAAAACAAGAAAGAGAGAGAGATGGTTGGCAAACTAATAAGATACATAGCGAGCAATCAATAAGAAATGTTCTTGCAGGTATTCCGTCTAATAAATTATACTAGGATGAAGGCATGTAAATATAACGTTCCTTCGTTTCCTAAATCATTGACAATTTACTGCACTTTTTGTGAGTGCTTTGTGTTAGGTTTTGTATTCTGTTGTTGTCGCTGTTTTTTGGATGGGAAATAGAGACATAAGATGCGTGTGCCATCATGATTGAAAGTAAAAAACAAATGATTGATAATACTCACGAAACTCGAAGGGGAAGCCATGCAGATTTGCCACCTCACGTGGGGTAAAATACCTCAATTTCAATATTGACAAAAGCTCTGCTTTTTGTTTATCATCTGTAAGATCCTGGTATCTTCTGAAGATATCTGAGTCCTACGAAGGATAACAAATGTCTGTTACATTGATACAGTCTTTCGTGATAGGAAGACGGTAACTTGGTCTGGATGCACCATAAACATCGTACATAAAGATCTTCGATCGCCAAAAGATGACTTAGCTCTGTGTGGGAAACTGCCAATTTTGAAAGCGTTCGAATTACGAAAGAAACGATAGTTTTGTGTGTAATGTGATAATTGAAACGTCTTTCTTTTCCAGCAAACTCCTGCGCTAAAAATGAGTATACAAGAAAGTAAACAAAAAATCTTTGGACACGATTTTCGTGATAAACAAACATTAATTAACACCATTTAGTGTCTTTAGTTTCCCTTTGTCTCACTCCTACATGAGGAAAAGTCAATTCTCCAAAATCTTAATCAAACAATTCCATTATGATTTATTCCAATAACCCCATACTAAAATATTGCATTTCATAAGCATATGATGCATGACCTAAAGCATCGCGCTGAGAAGAGGAGAAGGGCAACCTATGAGAGGGAACACCATATTGTATTGTATTTGAACAAATTCTGAGATTCAGTTCCAAGCGTTACCAAAGATTTTGTCCAAAATTGTGACCAAGTACGGTACTTGATTCGTGTGGGGCTATCGAAGTCACTGTTAAGGGTGAAATGTGTGGATACAAAATAACTGTTTCGTTCTTTGCTTTATCCTCTCTCTTTTCAGTTTCTTTCTTTAAGTTAAAATAGGAGGAGAAAGAAGTAACAGATGAAAAAAAATTTAAAGAAGAAAACTCACATCGATATTTGCCATTTTGAGCACTGAGCCAGTTCCTTCAGCATAATGTCCATAACTATGCACAGGAAAAAAAGGGAGAAAAAAATGAGATTAATCGCAGTTTCAGCGAAAAGACGATGCATGGGGCATTAAACACGACATTTAAACTAAACAAAATACTATGGCCACTCCAAGTATACTTAGCATTCGAACCAGTTTTTCCGTACACCTTCAACCAGTTACATGATCTGATTGGCATGTAGAATGCATTCTGACTGTGTGTCGTAAAACCAGAACCAAAGTTATCACAACGCCCGCTCACAACAAAAATAAATACAACAAGGACCCAATAAAACTCAAAGTAAAGACAAGCAAACTCAGTGACGCGCGGAAAAATGCAGGTTACCAAGCCGCTATTGGTTTATGTGTGGCACCGAGCTGATTGGTCGAAAAGAAAAAAGAGGTAAGTTTTCAAGACCAATCCAAGAGCTAAGTGAGGCAAACCTACGCATTCCCGGACTGCTAAAGAACAATTCAAGTTGATGGTCATGGTACGTGCTGGCTTTCCTTGTCTCTTTGCTTTTTGTGCTTGCTTTGTGTATTTGTTCCTTATAAAGATCTGAAAGTCAAAGGAAAATCTTGTAATTGTTGTGTTTAAAAACACTTACGCCTTTGTGAAGCAACAGGAACGCTCAGATTGAGGATTGACGATGTCTGTAAAGTAAAATAAGATAATAAACAGTTACAGAGCGTGGACAAGGCAGTAATATTTGTAAGACTGACATGTTATGTTTCTAGAAATTCATGCAAACAATGCATTCATAAGAAAGAGAAGGATGAAGAAAGATGATGGATGTATTAAGTGGCAGCTTATATTTTGAAGCTGAAAAGCTGAATAATTTGCGGTGAACATTGACATCTTCCCATGTGAAAAAAGGTTTCACCGATAAAGGTGTTTTCACGTATAGGCGGGAACCTTTTGTAATCGATTTATGAAGACTTATTTTTATTGTAAGGTCATTAATTGATGAAAATTCACTGAAAACTGTAAAAAAAAACTATTCGGGCCAAACCGTTGATGCACTACGACCCATTAAATATCAGAGTTTGTCCCGGTCTCAATAGCATGAAAATCCTTGGTGTATACTGGTATGACGGGAATTGATGCTTCTTGGTTGCTTCATTCAATTCCCTTGTTGAACGTTATATTTGCTTGACCCTGCGAATACAATAATACCGACCGTCGCCGTGCTTGCGATAAGTCCGCTGCAAGTGAGTGTAATAATTTTGAGACTAAATCCACGTTAACCCATGATTTGCGTCATGATTTGTTTTTCTGAAGAGAGTAGTAACAGAAGACTATGTCTAGCTGTAACATTAGGGACAGCCAGTTCTGGAAATGATTTCAGTTCTTTCTTTTCTTGAGCCCAGACAAAAGGCTAGATTAAGGTTGTAACTCCAGTTGCTGTTGTAACAGCTGTGCTGTTCTTCTACATACTGTCATCCGCCTGAATAAGATGCCAGTCAATCACAGGTAAGCCTGAATAATTCGTTGCAAGTTGCGCCGACAGTTTGCCGGTTACTATTTATATTTCTGAGTGGAGAGAGCCTTTGTGAGAAGAAAGAAGAATTTGTACCTTTCCAAGAGCGAAACCCAGACTGCCCCAGTCAAGGCTCACTGCCGGACCTCTAGACTCGGATTCGAGCCCGTTGGCAAATGGGTATCCCACAGAACTTAAAAAACCGCTTTAACTAATCTTCAGTCATTACAGGACGACGTTTTACTAAAGGATAAGCTTTGTCTCAATGTGTCATGCTCTTACCTAAAAGGAGTGCAAATTTACATAAAACCTTCTCCGGCAGAAGAAACTCTTCGAAGTAATTATCATCGTTACTATTCTCTAGGTAGTCACCAATTCGCCGACAATTTTTCAGCTCGTAAACTTGACTACTTGATTCCATTGCGAGTACTTCTGAACATCGTTCATTTCTTGTCCTAAAGCATTTCGAGCAGGCGGGGTTATGAGGTAATCTTTGATTCATTTCAACAGTGCACTCTGTCGCAGATGACTGCTTGTGATCATCCACATCTACTTCATACCCTGTTGTCATTGGGTCATTTCCACAACCACTGCATTGACAGTGACATCGATTTTCGGCATGGAGATACATGTCTGGAAAGCTCTCCATAATCTATCAAAGATAGAAAAACAAAGCTAGTCTTATTTGTCAACTGTCGACCAAAAAAAAAACCGTTACCGACTGTCAACTTGTGCCTCTAGTAGACATATTAGCTATGTAGGAGTGTGGTGAACGAGTTAAAATGGAGGCTATGGAGAAACATAAACAGCTGGTAGCAAGAACCGAATCGTAACGTGAGACCTGTGTGCTTTGAGCTCCGTAACATAACCAGAGGTGGGTCTGTTCAAAGATTTTAGTCAAATCTTGTTGTAAATATACCGTATGTTGCTTTAATGTGAAAAACTAACGTTCTAATATCAATTTTAGTATTCCAGAAAATGTCGCCATGGTGGTTAAAGCCTACATAAGTAGTTTGCAATCTGTTTACCTCATTACGTGTTGGGAAGCAAAATCGAAGGGGTCTCCTCTTTGCCAAAAGATAGTACCTTAGACGAGAGTTGGGGATTCCGAACTGCAAATGTAACAGTGCAACAATGTTATTAGATGTATACTAAATATACTTTACAGTTCTTTAATCCTTCAACTCCTACAAGTGACTAACATGTAACCTCTCCCTTTAATATCTGTATATTATCCAGCAAACAGGTAATGAGAATACTCAAACTTATCAGGTAGAAGTTGTTATCATGATCTAACACCAAATTCTCATAACCAATTTACAGGGAAATGTGTTTGTAACCAGAGGGGAGAATAAAAAAGGTTACAAGTAGATGGCTCAGGTCGGGTCAGGGACTGGGGACTAAGGAGAAAGACAGGAGAATCGTGGAATACTAAAACATCCTGAGATAACTTTTTGCGTTAAGAGTTACTGGCTCTTGTCTACGTACTCAACACCAAACATTTTTAATGAGTTTGACATTTTTACACCCTCATTATGGTACAAAAATAGCTTAAACATGATTTGAAAATACTGTCAGTAATTGAATACACCAAAAACTTTGGTCGGGCCTGATACAGAACTGAGCAAAAGTTGCAAAAGTAATGCAAACGATTGTTTAGTTCATAAACCCCTTCAGGCGGCTGACATGTCAGCTGATAATGTTCGCAGCTGAGAGATCGTCTGAAAAACGAATATTTGGCCAAGAAGCAAAGATTCGAGGGCAAATGTGAAATTTTGAGGACAATCTCTAAGCAAACGAAATTTTCAGCCGACGACTACCAGCGAGCCAGAAGGGGTTTTATTTATCTTTTAACCCTGCCATTATTTTTCGTATAGCACGTTGACAGCAAAATTTTATGAAATTTGTTGTACTTTCCCGCGTAGCATTTGAGATCAGCTTTCTAATGTCACTACCAAAATAAGTTCGTTTTTTCTGCAATGTAAAGTAATATAGATGAAAAAGTAAAACTCTTGAGCTGGCTTTCTTCTTTTCGACAGAAATAATCGAAGGGCAAACATCGACCTAAATGGCGATTGTTAACTTAAAGTCATAACTTCCCAGTGATTTTGTACCACGTGACAAAAGTTGCCAATTTCCGAAGAAATTATTCATTCTTTTGGCATAAAACAATGCATACACTACCTGAACTGGAGACAATAAGAATTCCTATGGGAAAAAAAGGATGATATGTTGGCTGATATGATAATTACATGTTACCTGAGTATGCTCAAATATTAGAATTGTTTACCAAATTATTCAGCCTATGAAAAATAATCTAGATAGGTTATGGACTTAACTTTAGCGAATCCTTTAACTCCCATGAGTGACCAAGACAGAATTTCTCCTCACAATATCGATACAATATAAATCAGACAAGTGATGGGAATACAAGAGAAAGAAAAGAGGTTCTGTAAATTATATTTTGGACTGGCAAAATGAAGTCAGTAAGTATTTATTATATGTGTACTTCTGAGTTCAAATAGAGGGCATATATTTCACTTTGAAAAAACTTTGCATTTAGCTTGCTGTACAGTGACATATGGGCTGCTAAATTGACCTATTATAGCCCACTTACTTACTAAAAGACAACAGAGAAAAAACCATAAGTGAGTTGAATTTACGTTTTCAACCCAGTTGTTAACACTAAATTACCTGCTTCCTTTAAACCCACTAGCTATTCCATATGCCTTTTTCTTTTTACTTTAAACTTTAAGATGTTTCTTCTGTTAATTTGAGACCTGGCAGGACTAGGAACTTATTTTTGTTTCAAAATAGGTTTGCCAACTTCTATGATTTTAGATGTATTAATACTCTAGTTTATTTACCATTATACAAAATAAGAATGCCTGTATATATGTACCTGATAATTATAACCACAAGTGTTTAGTGTTTCAAGAAAATACTCTCTGAAGAAAAAAAAAATAGTATGCCACGATAAACAACCATATCAAACAAAATAAACCACAATGCTTCCATACATGTAGGGGAAGAAGTGTAACTGAGTGGTTAGGGCACTGGTCTTGTAATTTGGTGCTCAAGCCCTCCATCCTGCTACTCACTGGACTTGTTCTTGGTTGCTACAAATTCAACTCCTTGGCTGTACTTTGTATATAGCCAACTGGTCAGTTGGGATATTTAAAACATTATCATCACGTTTATTTACAACATTTATGTCAATTTGTTTGTATTGCCCCTGCAAAGCCCCATTGTCAATTAATGTTATTATAATTATTATCATTAGTACTAAAGTATACTAGTAATTATCATTAATTTTAGAGTAATCTTTTATTTGCTCTAGTCTAAGAAAGCTGATAAATGGCAAGTCTCGATTGAAATTTTTCATTTTTTAAAATTTTCTCTCATATACATGTTAACACCATAGACATATAACTTAATTTGATCATTCATTCGCTCAAAGGAAAAAGGCATTCAAAATTACCTAGTAATTACCTTGTATCTGAAGTTTCAAATCCTTTTACATTTTCCATTAGGATGTAGTCTGGCACTTTTGATAGTCTATCATTGAAAAAAAAAATAGTTACACAGTAGCCAGGCTACACTGAACATGCAGGCACTAACAATTTTGGAGGATAGCTCTGCGTAATGACCTATATCCCACCAACATATTTCTTTTGGCAATTTTGTGTCACTGATTTTTAATCAAATAATCTTATTAAGCATACACATAACAACTATATGAACTTACTGAGGTAGGAGTTCAAGAATGTGAAGAAAACTTCTTGATCTTGGATCACTGGATGCACCTTGAAGACCAACCCTAAAAGTTAAGAAAGCACCTCATGAATATTTCAGAAATAAAATACATTGTTTATCAGATCCCCCTAATCCCTAATCTACCAGAAAAGATCAAGTTGTGTATCATGGAAAGAAACCACAAATTTATTACAAAAAGAACTGCATAAATACTAATGAAATATTAAATCCTTGCTGCTAATAAAACCTGAAAATTAACACATCTCATATCTAAACAGTTTGGCATTTTGAGTGCCAATTTTTAGGATTATATGGTTGAAACTCCAGATTCTCTTGTATGTCCATGTATGGTACATTTGCATTCATGTACAGTACACATACCTTGTAAATGGCTGACAAGGGGGTGACATCAGGAAAACATCAGCAGATAAACGATCCAGCTCCTTGACTGTAATGCCCTAAAAAAAATTAATGATACACAGAATCTACTGTTCTTCTGTGAGGTACATAGATCGATTACAATGTAATTGTGGAGAGAAAATTCCTGAACTTAGTTTAGTTTCCAAAGTAAACATTCAACTGCAAATCCCTCATGCTTGACCTATAAATTAGGATTACCACCTTACAGATAATTTTCCATGCTCCTTTATCTTTTGAAGAGGGAAATGAAGGCACCTACATTTGGTATTTTAAAGACAAGTTTATCATCATCTTTAAACAGCTATAACTCTATAAGACATCAGATAATCAGGAAAAGTCAGATATAAAATGAGGAACTTCATTAATCTACCCCAGCAACTTAAAAACTTACTAAAAATTATGAATTAAAGCAATCTATTGCTTTTTCACACACTGCAGGCCTATTCTTTTCTGAGTATCTAAAATGTGAGTGGAGTACACATCACTACTTTGGATAATTTTATACAGTGCTGCTTGCATGTACCACAGCATTTAACGTGCACTTGATGCGCCTGGGGGTACTGAAGTACATGTAAGCTGTACTGCATAAGCCTGGCATTTCAAAGATCTTAAACTGAAATCCACTGTCTTGGATATTTGATATCTAAAAATTTATTTTTCTCCTTTGGAAACAAACAAAGCCTAACCATAAGAAGCCGATCAGTTAGAGTTTCAGATGTCTGAAATAAAGCATCTTCATTCATCCTATCCAACTCGTTTGATTTTCTGATGCTAATGCACCTTGAAATCAACATACCAATCCCATAATACTGGAAATGTATCACTCTAAAGGTTACTTCTTGTGATTCATTGCAAAAATATATCTAAAACGATGATTGGCTGAAATTTCTCTCCACTTCCTCTGGCACTTTCCAAGCATACAGAACATTTTACCACTTGTTATAAAATCATGCACACTAACCTCTATATTCTTTTGCAGGAGTTTTGTGTCAGCAAAGTTTAATTGGTACACTTGATTTGCTGTGGTGTTGATCTCTAAGGCTGCATTTACTTCACCAGCAAACCCACATCCTGCAGGCATGAAAACAGGAACATTAAAGTTGTATTAGAGTGGAGATAGAACAACATGTAGCACATGTAGCAGTCACTTAATGTATTTTAGCTCACCTGTAGAAAAAATTGTAATTACAAATAAAAGGCAACAGCACAAAAACCCTGGTCTGAAAGTCACATCTCAAAGAGATGTAAACAGAGAAAGGAAGCACAAGAAGCTTATCAGATATTCCAAGTGGTTTGAGAGAAAATTCTCTGAACAATTTACACGAAATGTTTTCCTTGTGTCCTATGCCTGAACGTCACCAGATTTACTTGAGTGTAGATTTTGTAATTTATTTTATACTTTAAGCATCAAACGATCGCGATATGGTGAATTAAAACTGGTCATGATTACAATTGGACACTTGAAAAATATCTTGTCAACATCTGATGATTCTTGCTTGACATTCATTCATTTTAATACACACAAGTATAAATCTTGAGTTTCTTCTTCCTTCTTTTCAATCCCTAAACACTTCTGCAGTTGTGAAGTTAACGTTTGATCAAGATGTTGTGAACGCTTTCATTTCGTCAACCATTGGAGGAAAACAGAGGAACTGACTGACTGGAAGCGTGATGCGAGATGAAAACTACTGTGCCTGCAAATGTAAGAACCATTTTTGCCACAGCATGTTCATCTGAGCCAACAAAAAGAGAAGTGACGATTCTGTTTTGATCAATTTTCTTAGAAGACGACACGAAAGGTGAGAGTTTCGAAATCACCTTAATTGATGGTGAGAACAGATTCAATAGTCGTTTTAACATTACTGCTTTCTCTGAAATGTGTTACCTTTCAAAGCAAAGTGCATTCCACCGATTCCACTGTAAAACTCGACAACTCGAAGAGATTCGTCCGCCATTTTGATTTAATGTAGCCAGGCCTTACGTGCAGTTATGTACATGTCACGTAAACAACACAAGGTGTCCAAAAAAATCGGCAAAATGCCATTTAAACGTCAGCTTGTTTCCTATTCTTCATTTATTCATTTCTTTTCCTTTTCTTTCCGATTTGGTTTCGATTACGATATTTCATAAAATCATGCTTACATCTGAGAGCAGTTTGGTAAAATACGATGTTATGAAAATATCATTATCTTTGCCCGAAAATCATTCAGTTACATATGTTTCATTCTTTGGACCTCCAGATGTCCTCCCAAAAACTCACACTAACGGTGTTTGCGCCATTTTCTGTCAGTTCTTGGGATTAAGATAGATTAGATCCGATTCACCTACACATAGGGCATGGGAAACGAGTTTTAAGCCACTGAAATTAGGGACGTGCTTAAATCAAAAGCTCGCGAAGTTCGAGGCCTTCTCTCAATGTAATCAATCGCTCTGACGAAGGGCTAACGTTCGAAACGTCAGCTTTTTTACCCTTTACGGTGGCTAATTTACGTTTTCAACTCAGTCGTTAACAATAAATTACCTGCTTTTCTCAATGTATATTTGTATCTTTGTGCAATGTTACTCAAGCCAGTAAGACCTCCTCGGAAAATTTCAAAAACGTCTTAGCAAGGTTTTTGAAGTAACCTGGGTTCACCAAATTGTGTGAAGAACCACAGGCTACCCAGGCTCATGTCATGGAGCTTTTTAAGAAGAGAAACGGATTATCAACTCGTGATACTACGATATTTAGTTATATTTTGACAATTTAATCAACCTCCCTTGTCGCCTCGTTGCATTGTTTGTTGACATATCGGTTGTCATAGCTGCTAATTTTCTTTCAAGTACAGGTTGTCGATAACTCATTGAGCTGTGCTGAAACCTCTCAAATTAAAATAGTCAGTCAACGTTATAGCCAAGGCGAAGCAATTCCTGTCGAGCTACTAGTAACTAATAGAAAGTAGTGCCAAAATAAACCGGCTCAGTTTCAGAGACAATATCGATGAGAGACAACTCTGAAATTCTTCTCGTTTGCAACAGGGGGCCCGAGGGTGTTGCTCTGTTTTGTTTTGTTTTGTTTTTAATTCGCTTTGTTCCAATATAGCCAGTTTAAAATAATAGAACCTTTTATTTCAACTGGATTTCTTGAACTGCTGGGATTTATTGAAATGCAATCATGATAACATATCCTCAAGCGTTTTCTATCAAAAAAAGAGTAATTAGCTAACCGACAGAGCCAATATCGTTATTAATGCCGCTTATGAAGAGATTACAAACTTGCTCTTATGCAAGAGGAAACAGTGGCCATGTTGAAGCCAACAGTAACCACGTTGAAGCCCACACTGACCTCGTTTGAAGTCATTTCCGAAGTATTTGGTCGTAAAACTAACTATCAAGCGTGTAAAAGGTTAGAATGTAGCTTGGTGTGGACACATTTCTTTAATAAAAGAAATATAAGAGAGAACTCTGTAAAAAAAAGGGTAATTAGCCAACCGACAGAGCCAATATCGTGATCAATGCCCTCTAGGAAGAAATTACAAACTTGCTCTTATGCAAGAGGAATAGTGACTTCGTTAAAGCCAACAGCAACCTCGTTTGAAGCTATTTTCGAAATATTTGGCCATAAAACTAACTATCAAGCGCGTAAAAGGTTGGAATGTAGCTTGGTGTGGACACATTTCTTTAATAAAAGAAATATAAGAGAGAACTCTGAACTACTTCCCGTTTGCAACAGGGTGTCCGAGGCTATTGCTCTGTTTTTTGTTTTTGTTTTTGTTTTTTTCTTTGTTCCAAATAGCCGATTTAAATAGAACCTTTCATTTAAACTGGATAACTTATACTTTCTTGAAATGCTTGAATTTATTCAAATGGAATCATGATGAAGCGTTTTCTGTAAAAAAAGAGAGTAATTAGCCAACCGACAGAGCCAATATCGTGATCAATGCCTCTTATGTAGGAGGAAACAGTGACTACGTTGAAGCCAACAGTGACCTCGTTTGAAGTCGTTTCCGAAATATTTGGCCATAAAACTAACTACTCAGCGCGTAAAAGGTTGGAATGTAGCTTGGTGTGGACACATTTCTTTGATAAAAGAAATATAAGAGAGAACTCTGAACTACTTCCCGTTTGCAACAGGGTGCCCGAGGCTATTGCTCTGTTTTTTGTTTTTTTCTTTTGCTTTGTTCCAAATATCCGATTTAAATAGAACCTCTCATTAAAACTGGATCACTTATTCTCTCTTGAACTGTTGGAATTTATTCAAATGGAATCATCATAAAATATCCTCAAGCGTTTTTTGCAAGAAAAGGGTAATTAGCCAACCGACAGAGCCAATATCGTGATCAATGCCTCTTATGAGGAGATTATAAACTTCCTCTTATGCAAGACGAAACAGTGACCACGTAGTACCTAACAGTCATCTCGTTTGAAGTCATTTCCGAAATACATTGCCGTAAAACTAATTATTCAGCGCGTAAAAGGTTGGAATGTAGCTCGGTGAATATTTTTCTATATATAGTAGCTTTCAGAGAAGTCACGTCTCATAAAGTCGTTGAGTAAGAAAAAGGATCTCATTGCGACCTAATATCTATTTACTGCCATGGCCATCTTCTTAATTGGGCTGATTTTACTCGTACAATCTGATACAAATTTTGCCTCTGCCTCCAGACAAACAAATTTTTCCTCGTCGGGCCTTCAAAACCAGCTAGAGAGGAACAAACACTGTCTTAAATATGATTACGAAATTCAAGACACGCTTACCTCGACGAAGCCTCCGTTTGACAACTACTTCAACATATCCCGTGCCGTTTATCCCTCAGAGGAGCTATCGTCTAAACTTATAAACATCTGGGTACATTTTACAAACTCTTCTACGAATCTTACTCAAGTATCCTTACGGAAGTTTATTTGGAGCCGCTCATGTTTGTATGTAAGCGACCGATATTTGAGCTTGCTAGCCATAAGTTTGTATTCGCTGGGTTCAATATGGCCGGACAGAAGACAAGAGATCCTACACATAACAATTCCTACATTTTGCAACTCAGAGGCATCAGAACAAAAACTCGTTCAATTTTTGTCGACGGTAAGTCCAGAATATGAATCAAACTTTACATTAAGATTTTAGATATTGTAAGATTATAATAAGATACATATATTTACTACATACATTTCTTACAATGCAGGTCTCCTCACAAACTCTACCTACAGAACACTATTTACGCTAATTACAATACAGGCTACTCAGTTACACCGCCAACAGAACAACAATCTACTTATGTTACTTGCCAAACAAACAGTTACTTACAGTACTTAAAATACGTTATACGAAACACTTTAAATCACTTGCAGTACAACATTCTATTTACGACACAGTTCACAGTTTTCTTCAAGCCTCGCTCTCGGAAAGCTGTTCGCATCTTTGAACAGATAGTGTTCGTGTAAATTTTCGCGCAAAATAGAGGCTATTTTTTATTTAAAAGTTTCCTTTATGGTTCTACCAAGTGTCAGTTGCTTTGTTAAGCAATAAATAATGATAGCTAAATGTCAGAGTATGTTATATAAATAAGCTATGATTTTGCAGGTTTTTCTTAAGTTTTTTCAACTGAATGCATGCTATTGTTGAAGGTGACGTTACAACTGTAATCGGAATTTTCATTTTAAGAAATGTTAGTATTCAAATTATATTTAAAATGTAAATTAGATTACGGTGAAACAGGATGAAAAATGTCGAACTTTTCTTCTTTTTGATGATGACACGGAGATAGTTTATTGATGTCTCTTTTGTTTCTTTTTCTTTTTGTTTTGTTTCTGCAGCTCGAGGACATCGCTGTCATTCCAGCCCAACTAAATCCTGCTCTGAACCACGTCGAATGTGTTATGGAAGAAAAGCCTCCTGGCTTCGAGCTACAAAGAGCCAAAAAGATATTTCCTCACGTTTGTTGGGCATTTTGGTTTTTCTCTATAATTGCTGGATATTTTGCTACAGTTTTGTTTATTCAGCTGTTCCAAGAAAAAAAAAAGGATGTTGCGGTTAGTTCGACATTAACATTTTCAGTTACTCTCTTCTATGTAGGATTACTTTTTGGCATAATTGCGATTGTTTATAGCACGCGTAAGGGAGGATACAAAATGGTTTACCCTTTTATTTATTTATCTTCCATGGGATTAACATATATACTTGGTTACGTTTATTGCTGCGTCTCCTTAGAAGAAAAAAAGAAAAGGTGGAAGCTGGCGCATGTTTATCCAAGTAGCTTTGTAATGATTCACTCTATTCTATGGATGATGGTCGGAATGATAACAGAGCCTTACTGGGCTATCCCTGTCGTAACATTGCATGCGGCAGCAGTTTTCCTTTTCTACCTCCTATTGGGTTTTTATTACTCAGATAGGGATTGGGATATCCGAGACAAAATTAACTTAACTTTGCTTTTCATTTTATTGATGTCGATTATATCCGTACAGGTCTTATTTTTTTTGGTCGTTAGCCACTTTTTTAGAGAAGGATTAATTTTCAGTGCTATCCCTAGTGTTTTGATTATAATATTAGGCTTTTGGTGTAAGAATTTCACACACTCGTCCCAAGAGCCAGCAAGTTCGCTTTAAGTACACGGTGTAAATGCTAATAATTGCGAGCATTAATTTCTTTAAATTCTTAAGCAATCTGAAACGTTTACCATAGAAGTTAGCTTGAATCTTTCAGGATATTAGTAAAAATCCTGACCAAAACTTGTGGGCTCTGTGCTTTATGACACAGAGGAATGGGATGATGCAAAACTTAAGAACGAGTGCTCAGCCATGGAAATTTGCATAAGTATGCCGTTACGCCTCTCCAAATAAACCCAAGTCATAAAAATTGCTGGCTTAATATGGAAAAATTAATTTATAAATATCGTAAAAGGGCTAAGTGTTTATTTTTGACGGAGAGATTCGGCGGGCGTCATTTCGAGTGCTGTTAGACTGCACTCTTGCTTCGTTGGGGAACCATAAGTTAACAAT